CCTCTAATTGTGATAAAAAAATCATGGGCAACAGCCACAAAACAATTCACTCAGAAGATATAAAGGAATTACACAGGTATACTCTCAATCACCTAACGAATCCACGCCCGAATTGAACCAACCTCTATGTGCCACTTCCAACCCCGTCTTCACCTCGGAATTGTCTTGACGATGAGCCACTCCGAAATCCACCAAAGCTTCAGGCTCGAATTCTTCAGAATCCACCAAAGAATAACTCTCACTTTTGTGTAGAACAAACAAATAATCCATTGATGTATGCTCTTTAAACCAGGAGTTAAATACTCAATCAAAACATCAAAGAAAACTAGCAAAATATCCCCAGATATAAACCCTAGAACCCAAGAAGAAGATCTAAGAAGTAATCCTAAATTTTGACAGAAATCCGTACTTGTAGAAATCTGGAATTGTGAAGCTCGCTTGAGCGAAGACTCTCTCGCTCGAGCGAGGAACCAAAAACGCGTGTTTTCCATAAGTGGCTTCGCTCAAGCCACGCAAGTTTCGCTCGAGCGTACATTCACCTCTTTTAGATTTTTACACAGATGCAGCCTTCGCTCGAGCGAGGACTTCTTCGCTCGAGCGAGCAAGGGCGGACAGGCAACTGTGAATGTAATTTTTCATTTTGCTTTGGGGGCGTTACGCCTCGACCCCGCCGTGGAGCTACCCCGGACCCGCCAAAGGGCGCTGCCCCTTCGACCCCCGCGAGCTGACCGGGCAGCTCGATCCCCGTCATAATCAGTGAAATGACAATCTTGAAAGTATTAACATCACAAACTTCTCTGCAAGGCACAATTCGGGTTAGATTCGCATCTAACAAACTCATAGCCTCACTTAAATAAAAGTGCGAAAACAAGTACAATGGAAAGGAGTTTTGTCAAACGGGGTTGACAAGAATAAAAACCTAACAAAAACATTAGTTAAAATCTAAATGATACAGATTTGTTAAAATATGACAAAAGTAGAGAAAAGAAAAAAGGAAAGTTAAGATGAAGCTTGATAGAATTCAAAAACACAATGGTAAGACATGCTGCAAAAGAAACAAGCACTTTTTTTTTTTTTTTTTGAACCTACACGGATAGGTCCACGGATTTGGATGTTGAAAAACAAGTTTCATTTTCACTTTTTTCCCCCTTTTTTGTTCAAATAAGAAAAAGAAAAGAAAAAGACAATGGTAAGACATGCAACAAACGAACCCATACACACTTGTCCATAGATTTGGAACTAGTTTCATTTTCAGCATTCCCCTCCCAGCCTCCCCCCCCCCCACTTTTTGGTTCAAAAAAAAAATTTATTTTTTCTTTTTCTTTTCTATTAATTTTTTCGTGACAAAATATTCAAACCTAAAAATTATCCCAATTTTTTCCCTAAGTTTACTAATTGAGCGAGTCTTACAAAATAAATACAATGACTAAATCAATGAAAGTGGACTATATATATTTTCTCAGTCATTTTTAGTGTGAAAATGCTGTTGATTTTAATTATTATATTATTCAAGTTTAGTACTTTAAGGAACAATATATTGCTTAACATAAGACTAATTCATTTTAATTTGGATTAGTCTTAGTAAAACTAATCCATTTTAATGAACCAGGATTAGAAAACTAGAAAAACATCTACCAATAATCATTTGAAACAAAAAAAAAAACATGGCATTTAAAAAAGAACTAATGATCTATATACATGGCTGAATTTAGTTAAAACATGAATTATAAGCTCAAGTCACCATTTTGCTTTGGAATACATATATAATATGAAATTTTCTACATAAAACTAAAAAAATTAGAAATGCAAGTACTAAATAAGTAGGATGATATAAAGATTGGTCACCCCATGTTAATCAAATTTAGCAAATTCCAAAATTTGAAATTGTGAGTGATTACTGCCAACTTTTTTTTGGTAGAAGTGAATTGCCTTGGACATGTACTCATGGTTGCAACATTATAACGTCTCTTATATACATACCGTTGTCTATACTTGTATTTGTCGGCAAAATTTGTCATTTTTGATACCGACAGTTTTTAACTTTACAGAGTCAAGACAACGCGGATAAATTGGAATTAACTTAATTAGCTTTATAGGAAAGGCTTATCTAAAAAGAAACAAATATTAAAGGAATAGTTCAGTGGGTTGCTAGATGACAAGATTTTAATTTTAATCAATTTATGGTTATAATCACTATAATAAATAGATGGATTTTTTATTTTATTTTTTTTTTTGATGAATTAAAAACCATTATAAATATGCATACAATAATTCTATGCAATTAGCGGCGGTGAAAGGATCACCCGCTAACCAGAGCAATCTGGTTAGCAACCAAATCAGGTCAATCTTTTGTTTCTACCCCATACAATCACACCAATTTAGAGCATGGTGAAGTCAAGAGTTCTAGCAGATTGGTGTGGATCAAGTACCTCCCATCTAAAGTTCAATTTTTTGGATGGCTCGCATGGAAGCATAAGGTAAAAACATCAGTGCTCTTGTACAGAATTGGAGTGCTGGATGATAGTGCTGTCACTATATGTATTTTCTACAAAGCTGAACAAGAAACAGTTGAGCATATGCTTATTTGGTGTCCTATGATCTGGAGAGTTTGGAGTAGTCTCCTGCAATGGTGGGGAGCTCATTGGGTGGTGCCTCAAACTGTTGACGGTTTACTGTAGTGGTGGACTGGGAACAAGTCCATGAAAGCTGAAAAAAGAATTTGGAATGCTATCGCTTTGGTGGCTCTCTGGTCCATTTGGAAGCACCGGAATGATTGTCTCTTCCAAGATATCCAACCAAACATGGAAGAACTACTTGAAGTTATCATTGCTAGGCTGCAATTTGGTTAAAATCCACATCCAGGGATCTTCAATTTTCAGTCACTCATTTTATATGTATAACCTGGTGCAAATTAGATTTTGTTTAGGTAGGAGAGTGTAACGTTGTATTGTCTCTAAGGTTTGAGGGGTTTTGAGTTGGAACCTTTCTAACTCTTTTTGGGGCTTGGAATTGCACATAATTAGTTCTACTATGGGTGCCAACCTAGTTGGGATGCATAGCTTGGACAATGATGCATTTTTTTCCAAGCTTTTGTAATTTTTGAGTTTTAATGAAAATTATTTTGCTTGCTGCTAAAAAAAAAGGACCACCCGCTTAATGAGTTGAAAAGGATTAACTTGAAGATAACCAACAACAAAAAAAAAATGCAGTAAATTAAATTTGTCACTAACAAGGTTTCTTGCACTTCAACTTTGCTATTAGGCGTGTTCAGCTTCTTAATTAATTTTGTTTCTTCTTAATTAAAGCAGATTGATTTATTGTGGAACACAAAATGGTTTACTAGAATGCTATTTGGCGATGCCTTTACTAGATATTTTCTTCCTATAATATGTTAAAACTTGTTGATGGAACTCATATAAATTAACCATTATTGCAAGTTAAATTATGCTGAAGAGGAATAAAGCCAAAGGATAATTGATGGTTAACAATCAATTAACATATGCTCATTAATTTTATAATCTCCAAGATAATTGTATTCAATTAGGTATACAATATGGTAAAAAATCAAGAATTATTGAACTATGCCCGATAAATGTAGGATTTTGTTCATTTGATGAAAGTATTTCAGTAAATTTGGGAGATATAAAAAATAAAATAAAATAAAATAATAATATCAAAGAATTTTGTTAATATGTCACGGGATAATCATGAAATAAGATAAAAACTTTTTTTTTTGGGGGATCATCTCTTCTTCAGTGATAAACCAAACAAATGCAAGAAAGATAATTCATTTGAGTAATGTATTTTATCAATCCTCCGCCTTTATATCCTCTCTTTAATTTTTTATTTTCTGTGGAAAAACTTAGTAATATAAGGCCATGTTATATTGAATAATAAAATATAACTTTGTTTCTAATTTTTTCACCTACATATCTCAAAAGAAAAATATCTAAAGTGTAGCTGTTAGGTTATCTCTTATGTTATCTCTATATCCTCTAATAAATTTTTGCCTTTTCAAAATTGTATCCTTTGGAATCTTCACTTTGTTAACAATGAACATGAAATAGGATGCCTTATGAGATGTGAAATTGGGTTGAAGATTTTGTGAAAACTAAAAAGAAGTGTGAAAACTAAAAAGCATTCTTGAAAAATAAAATAATTTGAAACAAGGCTGCCTGTAAAACAGTTTTGAGTCTATCTATTGCATTTAAGCCCAAGGTTTAGCAGATGATCTTTTGACTATTGTATTTACAAGGCATATCTACCACATTAGGGTATCAAAACTTGGCTTTTAATGCGTGTTACAATTCTCTGTATGAAGTACAGGGTATGTATTGTGTTAAAATCTTCATTGTGAAAATGTTGATCATTAGGGCCCACGGAATCCTTAACTTAAAGTACTAAGCCATCATCAAGATTGGGCAAAATGGCTTGCTAAACAACAAATTTTGTAAATGTCCATTTTATATATCAGATAAATATTTTTGTTTCATTTGATAAGATTGTAGCACCTTATCAAAATCTAATTTATAACGGCTATATAAATTTTGAGTTAACCGTTAACCGTTTTTTAGTTTAATATAAAAATTTGTAGATGATGAAACACCTCATTAAAATCGAAATTTCATTTCATCCATAAAATGGAGATGATCTGGATTCACCACTGACATTGTTACTGGTGATCTGTGCTAATTCATTAATTTCAAATCAAAAGACCCATTGAAATAAAATTTTTACATTTTTTGTTGGTACGCACCAAGTGGTTGTAGACATCATATCCCATACTGGCTACAGGGTATAGAAATCTTTCAAGGATCTCAAAAGAGTATCCACATTTACTACACAAACACACCAAAATGCTTATAAAAGCCCATGGTTTTGTATACTGAGTCTAACTATAGAGAACAAAGGCTTTTGCATCTCTGCTGTAATTTTCTTCTCGTATGGGTTTTTGTTTCTCTTGAGCTCCTCTCTCTCGATCAAAAAACAAAAAAAAAGCTCCTCTCTCTCTCTCTCTCTCTCTGAGACACACGATAAAAATTATATTCATATAATGGTTCGTAAGGTGGATATGAAGAAGATAGAGGACATAACAAAATGTCAAGTGACATTTTCGAAGCGAAGAAGTAGCTTGATAAAGAAGGCTCATGAAATCTCTGTTTGTTGCGACGTGGATATTGCATTCATCACTTTCTCTCCCTCCGGTCGAGTGAGCAAGTTTTGCAGCCAAAGGAGGTTAGTGTAAATTACTAGAGTTGAAGCACTTTATCATCAGTTTTTTCCCCTTTATTTGCCATTAATTTTTTTTTTTTTTTTCTTGTTTTGTAGGATTGAAGACCTGATTCATCGTTACATAAATCTTCCCGTAGACAAGAGATTTACGTATGTAACTATTCCAACTCTTCATTTTGTTAACTTGTAATTTGTAATCTTCATTCCTCACTAATTTTATTCATTTTTTCTTTTTTCTCTCTTGAAATGGGATTGTTTGGAATGGACTTGGGCTGGTAAATGTGATTTAATTGTCTATGGTTAAACAGTCATATCAAGAATGTTCAGGTACTTTGCTTTAGTTAACTAGATTTATTTTTGTAGATTTGGTATTACTTTCTTGATGAGTAAAGTTGATAAAAATCTTGTAATTTTTTTTCATGTACTTTTTTTTTTTTTTTTTGTGTAATTTAATTCATCACCTGTTCATATTCATGTAGGAGAAGCAGGAAAAGATACACCAACTAGACCGCATTAAAGGCGATACTAGCAAGCTTCAATATCTTGAAAAACAGTTAGATTCTCTGTCTTTGTCTCTTACAATTCTTATTTATTTGTTTATTTATGATAATTTTAAGATTTCTAATTAACATTGTTTCGACTATTAGTTTTTCATTAGTTGTCAAACAAAACTAAGTTGTAAGAAACACAATTTTTCCTCTCTTTCTCCATGTCTGTTTTTGTTTTTTATAAATAAACAACAAGACGGATCTTATTTGTTCACTCATGTTACAAATTTGTTTGACAAACAATAGGAACATTCCCTTCTTTGTTTTTATTTTTTATTTTTTTTTATAATTTTTAAAAACCATACATATTTAGTTTCATTAATTATAAAAATTGTCCCATCTACAAAATATATATACATATATATAAATTGTTACCAGGATGATGGTCCAAATTGATGGCTAAACAAAGGAAGGATTTTAATTCGTTTGATAGATTTATAAAGTTGTATCGAGTTTTATTTATTTAGTTTTTCGCGTTTTCTATATAATAAAAATTATTATAAAAAAAATCTTGACATTTGAAGTGCTCTTTGTTTTTTGGAAAAACAGTATGTTTAAATCAACATAATTTTAAGATTTTGAGAGACATGCTATAACCTAGTCCAATTAAATGTGAATCTAGTAAAATCAAATTCAAATCCTACTATAGATAGAAAGATATGAAATCAAACAGATTGTAAATAATTATAATCCAGTTCAAGTATGAAAAATAGTCAATAATTTTAATTCATTAAATATTTAAACAAATTAAATAATTAAATAAGAGGCTAAATTTAAGGGTGCAATAAGTATAATTGGATTTCCAAGGGTCAGTTCAAATCTTGTTGATGTTTAATATGTTGCTTATGATTCATATTTGTAAATCACTTTTGTGTTGTTTTGTTTTTGTTAAATGAATATTTTCTAATTAAATTTTATGGGCTTATGTTGCATTGTTGCTTTCTTGTACCAAATGGATTCTCCAATCTACTGACTATAGAGTTGAAGTAAGTAAATCTTCACCAGAACATATATACATACAACATTACAACACACACATATACACATATACACACAATATCTTTAATTTAGGATAAACTTGTTCAATACTAACTCTGATTGTGTTTCTACTATAGAACCTTGAGCTACAAATAAAAAAAAGGACATTAGAATTACAGATTTTGGAGGCTAATATCAGGTGAGGTTCATCAGAACTAGGTTCCTCTCTGTGTAGATATTCTAACAATTGTTTTTTCCATTTCTTTTAATATTGTGATATTGATCCCTTCTTTTTTTCGATGTTCTGTAGGGATTATGAACTGCTCCCAGAGCAAGAACCCTCTCTACATCAACTCATGTGGTGCGAGAGAAACTTGAAACAGTCTTTGGAAAAAGTGGTAGCAAGAAAAGTGAGTTTCCATTGCTCGTGCACATTAATCTCCTATGATACCAATTAGGATGGTGTCAGCATTACATCTAATATTTGTTCATATGATGCTCAAATTTTGTTCAGAATGTTGCAATTGATTCTTTGTCTACTTTTTTTGCCAGAATGCATTGAGTGGTAGCTATTCTTCCTTACAAAGCCAACCCAACACTCAGGTGCAAATTATAAATTTGAGCACTCTACCATCATCTTTTAATTATGGTTTCTAGTTGGGTGCATAAATTTTTTGTACTGTAATTTATTATACTACATCTAACATCAATCTTGATTAGGTGGAGATGGAGAACCAAGGCGGTATGCCACTTTCATGCTACATTGATGGAAGGGATCTAAGTTGGGTTCCAAAAAGCCCTCCTTCTAGGCAGCTTTTAATGCAACTTGATCCTTGGATTAGTCCTTACAGGTTTACATGTTATCAACAACTTAATGGCTATTGATTTTCACTATTTACTTAACACCTTTTGTGTCCTAGTCCTTTTCCCCCCTTAAATGTTATCACAAGTTTTCGATCACTAGAAGTTTGATAATTTAGGGAAGTAGTTGCTCATGAGGCAACAAGTTTAGCTAGCAAAGAAGTCATGTTTTAACAATCTATTAAACCCTAAACCATTCACTGATCTTTAAGAAAAACAAGAATTAACCCCTACATTAATTATTGTTTTATAAGATCAAATTTAGAGTATCGATAGACATGTAGGTTGATATTATTAGTTTATTTTTTTTGGTCTCTTGATACTGATATGGGATTTAAATTATTTTCATATCAGCCAATTCATGTTCATAACTTATTAGCAACTCAGATAATTTAGGGAAGTAGTTGCTCATGAGGCAACAAGTTTAGCTGGCAAAGAAGTCTTGTTTTAACAATCTATTAAACCTTAAACCATTCACTGATCTTTAAGAAAAACAAGAATTAACCCCTACATTAATTATTGTTTTATAAGATCAAATTTAGAGTATCGATAGACATGTAGGTTGATATTATTAGTTTATTTTTTTTGGTCTCTTGATACTGATATGGGATTTAAATTATTTTCATATCAGCCAATTCATGTTCATAACTTATTAGCAACTCAATCATAGCTAATTTGGCTGCTATAAAACACTTTCTTCATGGCTGATGAATTTTTTAAAATTCATGGTTGCATCACCTGATTAAGATACATAGTGCTTGATACTCCTCATATTTTCATTGCGACTCTCAATACTGATTCGTCTACCAATCATGCCTTTATTCAAAGCCTTGTTTCAAACTTTTAGTCAGTTTTCCTTTTCTATATGACTAAAAAGTAAAGGAAAAGTCAAGTAAATTTCAAGGAGAGTAACTATCATAGTCTTAACAGTGTCGCGGTTCGTGAAAGCATATTTCAAGGAATTACTGATCAAATAAAGGGAACACCAGTAAGTAGTCAAACACCAGGGTCATTGACTAGTCATATCTCAATCAAAGCTTTCTCCACCAAAAATCAGTCAGGAATTTCATCTGGAGCTCAAGAAACCCTAATTACACTGCCAACGCAGGTAAATATTTCTTCTAACAAACCTTGGCTAAATATTTTACAATTCATAGATCCTAATTTTCCCTAACTGAACAATTGCAAATATCATGGCAGCAACCCTCTGTTGATATTGAATTTTCATCGATTTTGTCTAATCATGGTGGAGTATTAGATAGCTCATCCAAGGTATGTGATTGCTTTTGACGGAATATTAGATGCCATTTTTAATTTTATAATTTTACCTCATGTTTAGTTCTCATACCTTTGATTATTTTTCTTAGTATAGAATGGTTCGAAAAAATTTCCCTTTTGGGTCCAACTACAATATTTTCCACATACTTGTTCATTAGAACATATACATATCTCTCCTAGTTTATCTTTCATTAGATTCTTTATAATTTTCATAATCTAGTTATACGTATAATTTTGATTAACTATTCTTTCCTTTCACTTGAAAGATCATATACTTACCTTGTTATATTTTTTGCATTAATTCTCATTCATACTTATTTATACTTTCTTCTTTTCTTTTATTTATTTATTTATAGGCACATGCTTATTTTATGCCTTACTTATATAAGGGTAGTATGGATCCTAATAAGTGCTAGACACTGACCACTTAACCGTGGATCCAATTCAGTTATTGACATTGATCTGTTATCTCCATATTCAATCAATTACTTTGAGGTTCTTGTATATCTTTGCAGCAGAACCACTTGAATAAGCAAGACATTGTCATATCATTGGCTCAATCTAAATCAAACCACAAAAATGGGAATTGGTTTGCTAGTGGTAATCCTAACTGTAGCAAGAGCTTGAGTGTCACTCAACCTCCAAATGTTGCAAGGTTTGTGTTTTCTATATATTCGAGTTTTATATGTAAAATGCTTTTTCTTTGGTGTGATTTGATTAACATGAAAAATGAACTATTAATTATTAATTATTATCTTTTACATTGTATTTACAGGAATATATCTCTACCAATTAATGGATCATTTTGCACTGCTTCTGCTTCTTCTGCCACCACCATAACTACTGCGAAAGGGTTGAACTTGGATGAATTGGGGTTGTATCAGATGGAAATTGGAATGGAAAAGTATAACCCAGAAAATGACCAGACAATAACTACATCAAAATGGTCTAACCCGAAGACAACCATTTCGCAACACAATAATGTAAAACAAATTGACGACCAATGCGAAAGTGATGGCAACAACAACAACAGTGCCTTCAACAATGGCACCAAGGACAGCAACACTGAAAGTGGTTTTGTAGTCATGGATCAGTCAATAGATATAGAAAAAGTGGATCCACTACATAAATTTCCTGAAGTGCCCTCATTTGACGACTTTTCTCTTGAGGTTAGTGCAAACAACTATAATTCATAAAGATCAATTGCATAATTTATTTTTTGCAACTGTTAATAAATCACAGTTCGTTTCATTTTATACAACAAATTTATGATAGTTACTATTGCATAAGCATATCATATAGGAACGATCATTTACTACTAGAATATTTATATGGAAAATTGAAAATGAAAATTTTAAAATTATGAGCATAGGTATCTATTTATATTTAAATTGAAAATATCAGAAAATATCTCTTCATTTTGTTTGAGAATTTTGTATTCATGTTTTTATGATAATTGATACTTTCTTTCTATTGTTCCAACAGAATATTTTAGAAGACAACAACTTGTGGACCAAAAGAATCCAAGAGAGTGGCTTATGGGAATGGGATGACTTGGTGATGGCAGATAATATGAACTTTGAGGATCTTGAAAAGTTTTTTGACTAAAGGCAAAGTTGGTGCATTATATATTATCTTAGAGATTACCTAGTTTTCTATATTAGACTTTGATGTACATTTTGTAGTTAGTGGTTGCTAATGATGTTATATAAAGATTGTCTTATAAGTTTTTAAGTTGACCAGAATTTAAGTTGTGCCTAGTTTTCTGGTTGTAGAATGAAGCAGGAAAATTTGGATGGTTCTACCTTTGGCTATTCTCTGGTCTACATGGAAGCATAGAAATAATTGTGTATTTAATGGTTCTCAACCAAATTTGGAAGATCAGTGTGAAATAGTGAAGGTTAGAGTAGTTATGTGGCTCAAAGCACTGCTAATTCAGGTAGAGTTTTCTATAAATGACTTGGTATTTAATCTACAACAAGTGAAGTATTGTATCAGAAATGGAGGTTGAGTGAAATTGATCAAGTCTGGTGACCTGTAATAGTTGCTCTATTTAGATGTTTTGTTTGGCACCACCAGTTTGCTCTTTGTTTGTTAGTTAGTTTGCTCATTGGTTTTGTTTCTCTGTTTCTTTGGTTGGTTTCTTACCAATTTAGGAGTGCTAGCAAATGATAGGGTGCTTATTTTGATGCCAACCTAGTTGGGATTATTATGTGTATCGTGATGCTTTTGCACTTCCTCTTTTATTGAGGTGCGTTCTGTATTTTGTACTAATTTATAACAATGAATTCTTTTTCTTTGCTGATCAAAAAAATCATCTAAAAGACTTGATTGTAAAAAAAAAACCTTTTTAACCAAAAAGTTGAAGGCAATGAATGAATGATTCCTTGAAATTAAATTAAAACCATACAGTGTTTCTATTGTACTTCGAAAAAATTGCTATGTTCTAATCAATTGAAAATTTGATTTGTTGATATGATTTTTCTTTAATGTTGTTTGGTTGATTAATTTAATTATACAATATAAATTGCAAACATGATTCAATTACATACAAAGAGGCTTGAGATTTTTTAATGTAAAAAAAAAAATCCAACTGGAAAAAATCGTGGGACTTGGTCTAGTCAATCGATCCACTATAAACAACAAAATATTCAATTTGTTACTTAAAAACCAACCAAATTCGCAGTGCCAAATCCTTAAACTAGCTGGTATGCTCCTTGTATCAACCATATCCAAATCTTTGTGTTCAATGGATGATTGAATATTGAATTCACAATACTTATGAAATCTACCACGAACTAAACACAATACATCAAACTAACTTCGGAATCCACCAAAGCATTTACCAAAATAAGAACAATGATGTAGAAAACTTGGAGATTGAATGATCTTCAACATAATATATTATAAAATATTCTAAGCATGCATTGGTACACCCTCTAGGGTCCTTTTTATAGTTGAGGTATCCCAAGACGAATTAAATACCTTGTTGAGGTGTATCCATGTGATACACCAACTTAAATCAATCAAAATTGGCACCTCCCGCTCAGGCCTGCAAAATATCACTCGAACATACTTCAAACGAGAATTCTGGTTGCACACTATTTTCAAAATAAATTTGTTCACGGCTATATTGAAAGCTTGTATTCTGGTGCTTCGTGGATTTGTACTCAACATTATATTTAGATTGTTTTCACTCCAAGATGATTCCAAATCGTGTTCAAATTCCTATCACAATTCAATTTGGATTTCAAAAAATAATTACAACTCAAATAGGTTTTATTTAAGGAATTGGAAAATCTAACTAGAACACGATTTTAGCACTTACATACATTTTTGTGTGTGTGTGTATGTGTGCAACAACCTCTAAAAAACTCAACCACATTAAGATATTTGATAGTTTTGCATATAAAATAGAAGAACCATACAAATTATACAAATCAAAGAGAAAGAAACTAATCACAAACACCCAAAACCAAGATTTAACCAAGACACCAAAAAACAAGTCTCATAAGAGAGACACCAAGACGAGATAAAATCTTACCAAACAAGACTTCAAAGAAGCCACCAAAGATGCCGAAACTCCACCAAGATCTACAGTAGTCCGCTAAGAAAATATTCACGAACAAGATTTATTCTAAATCAATGAACAAGAATCTTTCAAGAACAAGATCTAACAAGGAGGACCATCAAGTGCCAAAAGGCACACTGAGAAACTCTCCAATGGAAGCACCTAAGGATTGAAGTCTATAATGAATCTCAAAGCGATCTACCAAGGAATTGGAAAATTTAATAAATAAGTGAAAGTCTCTTTTTTTTTTCTTTTTTTGATCGGCAAAAACAAAAACTTTATTGATGAAAAGAGGCACAGTACATGTAACAATTACATCAACAAAGTAGGAAATGCAAAAGCATCATAGCTAACCTCAACAATCCCAACTAGGATGGCACCGCAAAGGAAACACAATCATATGCTAGCATTTGATCCATAACTGGTGAGAAACCAATCAGAAGCACCCAAAGCAGAAGAAAAAGCAGAAAAGCTTTACAATCCGCAGAGCCAACTTGCAA